AAATACTGCCGAGTAAATATTTAAAAATCGCGTGACGTCCCGTTAGCTGACCCACTTTTTGAATAAATATATTTAAGGAATTAGAGTGCCGTCTCTGATTTGTGTTTGCAGGAGGTTAGAGGTGTGTCCACTTCGAGAGCCGAATTGACCAATAATATTTCAGTTCCTTTCGTTGCCAACTCGATATGTGTAGCATGTGGCAACCCTCTTCAAAAGTACTTTCAAGGTAAAACCTTCTTACGTCTACTTATTGACTTAAAATAACGATTTGGCAATGAACTTTTGAAAATGTTGTGGGGTTATAATTATGTAACGGGTTGTATATAGATAGCTACTCCGTTTAATATCATTAATAAAAAAGCATTTATCCGTTTTAACAGAGAGTTCAACTTAAGAAGGGTATATGCCAGCATTATAAAATAGTTTAGAAAATACTCCAATAATTTGTTTTGTTAACTATATTGCCAATGTGTATTTGTAAAATATCTGAATAACTAAATCTGTGCAGAATTCGACTGATCTGGCCACCACTTAAATGCTCGCGGTAAGAAACTGGTGTCGCTGAAGAGCGGCTGCCGTCCAGTGCTCTTTTACTCTCCCAATTTTATATACATATGTTTGTACCTATTTTGTCAACCCATGTACTTGTACGTAACCATATATATAAATATATTGTATGTAAGCACAGTTAGCCGTTACCAGCATTCACTTAGCTTTGCTTTGCTATATATATACATATGTGTCCAACTTTGTAAAATAAAATAGATGTGTTTCTAATCGTGTTGAGAAATAGCGTGTTTTATTAAGCTTTGTACAGAACATATGTAATACTTCTATATTGGCAGTAAGCTAACTTCTCAATGTGCAAGCATTCCCAAATCAAAGCGAGACAGTCTAGTACCGTTTTTGTCAATGTATTGTGTACTTGAGTGCCGTTTTTGTATATGTGTTGTGTACATGTTTATTTATAAACGTGTGTGTTCCTTTTCTTTCGTACGTGTTTATTGATATATCTGTACTGTAGTGTTTTCGGACGGTACTAGCTCTTACTGCCAATATAGGAGTATTACATATATGATTTTAGCATATAGTTTTTTTAGGGATTGCTCATCGAATTTTTTGACATGTAAATGCACATGTACATTTGTCAAAATGTAATTGCGATTGAGTTTTTGCAAACAAAATCAGTTTTGGTTCAAATACGCCGACTTTACTCTATACCAAATATAAATGAACACATTTCTGCAAGTTAAAATTTGTATATGTATGTACACATAGCAGACACATACAGAAATACTATTTTTCAAAACATATTATACATAATTTTTATACCAGGAGTATGTATTCTTCTTCTTCTTCTTTTTTGGCGCTGTAACCGCCTAAGCGATTTTGGCCGAGTTCAGCAAAGCACGCCAGTCGTTTCTCCTCTGTGCCAACTGACGCCAATTGGAAACGCCAAGTGAAGCCAAGTCCTTCTCCACCTGATCTTTCCATCGCAGTGGGGGCCTTCCTCTTCCTCTGCTACCACCAGCGGGTTCCGAGTTGAATACTTTCAGAGCTGGAGCGTCGGTGTCCATTCGAACGACATAACCAAGCCAGCGGAGCCGCTGTATTTTAATTCGCTGCACTATGTCGATATCGTTGTAAAGCTCATACAGCTCATCGTTCTATCGTCTGCGGTACTCGCCGTCGCCAACGCGTAAAGGCCCGTAAATTTTCCGCAAAATATTTCTCTCAAACACTCCAAGAGCCGCCTCATCGGATGTTGTCATTGTCCATGCTTCTGCGCAATATACCAGCACGGGCATGATGAGTGACTTATAGAGCGCGGTTTTCGTACATCGAGAGAGGACTTTACTCCTGAATTGGCTACTCAGTCCAAAATAGCACTTGTTGGCAAGAGTGACTCTACGTTGGATTTCAATGCTGACATTATTATCGGTGTTAATGCTGGTTCCCAAGTAAACGAAATTCTCTACTTTCTCGAAATTGTAAATGGCAACAGTGACGTGGGTGCCAAGGCGCGAATGTGCTGACTGTTTGTTTGATGACAGGAGATACTTCGTCTTGTCCTCTTTTACCACCAGACCCATTCGCTTTGCTTCCCTATCCAACTTGGAAAAGGCAGAACAGACTTCGCGGTTTTTGTTAGCGATGATGTCGATGTCATCGGCATAAGCCAGCAATTGCACGCTCTTATAATAAATTGTTCCTGAGCGGTTCAGTTCTGCAGCTCTTATTATCTTCTCCAACATCAGATTAAAGAAGTCACATGAAAGGGAGTCGCCCTGTCTGAAACCCCGTTTTGTGGCGAACGGCTCGGAGAGGTCTTTTCCAATTCTGACGGAGCTGGTGGTATTGCTCAACGTAATTTTACACAGCCGTATGAGTTTGGAGGGGATGCCAAATTCAGACATAGCGGCGTATAGGCAACTCCTTTTAGTGCTGTCAAAAGCGGCTTTAAAGTCGACAAATAGGTGGTGAGTGTCGATCCTTTTCTCGCGGGTCTTTTCCAAGATTTGGCGTATTGTGAATACCTGGTCTATGGTGGATTTGCCAGGTCTAATGCCACACTGATAAGGCCCAATCAGTTCATTGACGGTGGGCTTCAGTCTTTCACACAATACGCTCGATAAGACCTTGTAACCTATGCCTAGAAGGCTGATCCCGCGGTAGTTGGCGCGAATGGAGGGGTCACCTTTCTTGTGGATTGGGCAGAGCACACTTAAATTCCAGTCGTCGGCCATGCGTTGATCTGACCATATTCTGCACAAGAGTTGATGCTTGCAGCTTATCAACTCCTCGCCGCCGTACTTGAATAGATCAGCTGGCAGGCTGTCAGCTCCAGCGGCTTTCGCTGAAATCCGACTACTTCTTCGGCGGCGGTACTTAATGAGCGGGAAATGTGGTTCCACTGCTCGCATATGTCGGTTTGTTGAAGAGTGCTCTCTGAGAGCAGGTGTGAGAGCCGAGTAGCGAAAGCGCTGGCTGTCTGTTGTGATTGCAGCTTTTCGACGTTAAGCTTTCCTTGCATATTTGGGCGCACATTTTTTGCTGCACAGAGGCGGGTGCCAAGCAGTGAAGTCGCCAAGCACGATTTTGATATCATGACGGGGGCAGCGGTCGTACGTGCGCTCCAAGCGCTCATAGAAGAGATCCTTGGATGCCTCATCCTTCTCTTCCGTCGGGGCATGGGCGCAGATGAGCGAGATGTTGAAGAATCTCGCTTTGATGCGGATTGTGGCTCGTCCACCGGGGTGAACGACAGTACTCGGCGACGGAGTCTTTCTCCCACCACAAATCCAACACCGAATTTGCGCTCCTTTACATGGCAGCTGTAGTAGACGTCGCAAGGCCCCAGACATCGTTTGCCTTACCCCGTCCAACGCATTTCTTGGATGGCGGTGATGTCAGCTTTTGTCCTTACGAGGACATCAACCAGCCGGGCAGAGGCACCTTCCCCTTTATGGGTCCGGACAATCCAGGTGCATGCCCTCAAATCGTAGTCCTTTAAACGTTTGCCGTGGTCGTCATCATAAGGGGGGGTCTCATCCGAGGCTTTGCCTTGCTTCTTCACTGGAAGTGGTTTTTACGTGGCGGGTCCCAAGCCCAGCGCACAACCCATTGCTGGAGTATGTATTAATAACATTTAATTCGCTGACTAATATTTCACATTTCTAATTAAAGGCCTGTATGCAGCTCTCAAGAAAAGCTAAAAATCCATATAAAATGACGTACAAGAAATGGCTAAGAAATTTTCTTGAGTCAAATTTCCTTAAGGCAGTACGCAGTTCTTAAGAAATTTACTATGATTTCTACTACGGTTTTCTAAAGTTTTTTGTGAAAAAAGAGCGCAAGGCAACCCAGGTTTGCAACAGAAATATATGCCCGTGCCATTATTTCTTGAGGAAAGAGTGAGGCAACAGGCTGTGAAGTATGAAAAATGTCAAAATTCCTTGGACACACACACGAAATAATGCATGGTGAAATGAACTGAAGGTGGCGCATTATCGAAACCGCTACTTTGGTTTTGCCGACTTTGACATTTATGGCAATACGTAAACAAACTTTTTGTTTAGAAACAAGTGCAAACGTATTGTGTACTTTCAAGTGAAAAATCTAAGTAATTCGTGTGTTCTGAAGTAAAAAACGTTTTATTTGTAATAAAAACTTTATAAAAATGTCGTGTCGTGTGTTGAATTGCAGCAGCCGTAGGGGTAAAGCCCCCAAATGCAGTTTTTTTTGTTTCCCCGCGACGACGCCTTGGCCAGAAAGTGGGTAGAGTTCTGCCGGCAGGAGAAGCCATAAAATTTAGACACCAGCGTAATATGCATGAAGCACTTTACGGACCACTTTTAAACACGACATGTTAAGTTGAAAACGTTGAAATACCACAAATTACAAATTAAAATCGGAGGTAAGCAAGCATCGACCACTTTCTGCAGGAAAACATGCGCTGCGACAAGCTATTAGGGGTATTCTCTGAGTCTTGCAAAGGCCTTGCATGGTGCACATATTGCACGGATTGCACGGTAAAAACCGGTTTTCGTATGGCACAGCTTTGCAAACCGTGCAATCCGTGCACCGTGCAAGAGCTTTGCAAGACTCGGAGAATACCCCTATTATCACTTTTTCGGCACCTGTAATACAAACACAAAAATTCTAAATAGTTAATTAATAACACCTATTCTTTTGAACACATTTCAAGAGTGGTTGTATATTTTTTGTTAACGTAGTGCTTAATTTGCTATATTCAAAGATGGCTTGAGAAATTGGTGAATCAAGAAGAAACCACGTTTTCTCACTGCAAATTCACAACTGTCAACTCATTGTTCTTCGCCATATTCGTTGTTTACCCGTTGCAACAAATGTCATTCTGCGGGAATGCGCAATCTTGTATTCTATCGTTCTTGGAAATAATGGCAATTTTTTCTTGACCGTTTTCTTGAGAGCTGCATACAGGGCTTAACAAACAAACTTTTATCTTTTCTTACAGATTTTTTGAAGGATGCCTGCTCATCATTAGTGAACTAACCTATATTTAAGCCTTCAATAATTTAAGAAATGCAGGTAGTTGATTATACATACATATGTACATACATACAGGCTGACCAATTGAATTAAAGATTATGTATGTATGCAATATACCTTAGCTACTCAGTAAAAAAGTTATAATTATTTCTAATTATTTTTTAGTTTATACTCACGTCGTTAGAACGCTAACTCCGCCCAAAGTCTTTGGGTAACGCCTCCATGTATTTGTAAAACCGTATAGTGATACTCTTGACATATTTAGCGATAACTCCCGTATATATGTTTATGTGTATGTGTTTACGTTAGTCTTTTTTTTCTTCAATTAAATATTTTTAATTATTCTGCTGTATTAATTACTTTTTATTAAATTAATGCGAAAGCAAATAAATATGTACTTCTATCTTCAGCAGTGCTCGCGTTAAAACCTGCTGATTTTCAATACTATATAGTTCAAATTGGTATGCTTGTTCACTTAAGCGGCAGCTATCACACTTTTACCAGTTGGATGACACCTTTGTCGTGGATGCGGCGTGTAGCGGGCAGCGAAGCAACGGCTAACACGTCAGCGCCCGCTATGTAGTTCCTTAGTTGTTCTAATTTTTTCTTCCAAGATGATGTGCTTTTTTCAAAAATATCTGCGCTCAAATAAATTAAACGCACAGCTATATACTTATTTTTTATGCAATAGTTTTTTATTTATTTCTCTAAAAGAAGCTCTTAAGTCCGCACTGCTGTTGCGTATTTTCTAGTTGTTTCGACTTATTTCGTGTACTGGGAACTCCTAATAAGTTTTTATCTATTCACTTCATTTGCCTGCCATTTTCATTTTGTTTTGAATATTTTCTATTTTCTTGTAACTGCTTGTATTTGTAAAAGATAATTTAGTAGTGTGTTTTATGATTGTAGCCTTTTGTTTTTATTTCACTGAACTTATCACTTTGAATTTCTATTGTTGAATGAGTTGCAGAGCTAATTTCGCCCTCAAGAAATACTAATTTTTGGTCGTATGACAGGCGTGTTGTTATTGCATTTGTTGCCTTCTTGTTTTTCTCGCCTTTCACATTTTTGTTATTCTCGCGTGATTTGTTTTCAATTTGTCAGTTGTATTTCGTTGACATTCGTGTTTATTTTTGTTGTTGTTTTGCTATTATGCTTTGAACAAAGAATAGGGGAAAAGTAATACTAACCAAAATGCTAGGGTAGCTGTGCAATGTTTTGAAAATGCAAGTTAGATCATTGATAAAATCACTCCTCACTTTGCTGTAAAAAAGTACAAAGGTTTGAATAACTAAAATAAAATGAAATAATACAAGTTTAATATTTGATGCGCTTTTTGACGCAAGTAGAGCCACCTTTCTACCCATGAGAAGCTTTTCCGTCGTAGAGGAACACTAGGTTACTTGTATTGTATTTGTTAGCATCCCTGGTACTTTGCTGAAAGTGGCAACACCGCGAATAAAAACTGCAACCAAAATGTATGTTTAATACGCCTTAACTGCAACCAACTTTGGTACATATTTTCGTCGGCCATGACAGAAGGACTCTGGACAGCGTACGAGCAACACAAGTGTAAAACCTTCAACAGCCACAACAACAACAGCAACTTACCGACTGCCGTTCATATATATATATATATTTTATGTTTTAAAAGTACAAGTTACGCGCTTACGTGTCTGTAAAAGTAGAAACCTTAATAATACGTTTTTATACAACTCAAACGTCTTTACTTTATTCGTTATAAATCCTTCGTCGGTAAGCAGAAGCAGTTCTTACACTTCAACATCTTTTACACTTGTACGCTGTCGGTGAAAACGAATAAAGTTGGTACCGGAGGCCATTTTGTATGTCTGAAACTAACCGATATTTTTTACGAAATCGGGCCGGTGTTACGAGCGAGAATCAAAGGAGTGAATCAGAATCATCGTTTGAAAGCATGGAGGGTCAGCCAGGTGCAGCCGCAGAAGACAGCGCGAATGCTATAATTGCTACATTGAATGCGTTAAGGGCTTCCGTAGAAGAGCTTAGACAAAGCACTGCGGAGAGCCAAAGAGACATAATAAGGCTTCGCGAAGGCATGCAACCACAGAATATTCCGGAGCAGAGCGTGCAGCCAGCACAGCGTGACAATACTCAAGCCGTCGTAGCACCAACCGACTCGCAAGTAAAACTTTATGATTTGCCTGTGTTCAGTGGCAATGTCGAGGACTGGCCGCTATTTTTCGCAAATTTCAACGACACCACGGAAACTTTTGGGTATAGCCCCCGCCAAAACCTTATGAGGTTGCAGAAGTGCTTAGTTGGTCCCGCCAAAGAAGCTGTCGCCGCCATGCTAATTTACTCGAGCAACTTGCCGAACGTCATAAGCGAGTTGGAGTTCAGGTTCGGGCGACCGGACATTTTGGTTAAATTCCAAACCAGTAAACTGCAGCATTTCCCGCCAATAGCGTATAATATGCCGGAGCAAATTGTACCGTTTTCCTCGAGAGTGAGAAATGTTGTTGCATTTCTTAAGTCTGCAAATTGCCAGCAGCACTTAGCTAACGTGACATTGTTAGAACAAATGGTGGGTAAGTTACCGCATAACCGACAGTTCGACTGGGCGAAGCATGCTGCGACTATACAACCGTATCCATCAGTTGAAAATTTTTCTGAGTGGCTTAGCGAGTTGGCTAAAATAATTTGTCTTATGCCGACAATCAGCACGCAGAGTGGCAGGCAGTCAGCATCATCGGGTAATCCCCGTCGACTGATGCATATTGAGCGGCCAAAGGACTCACTTACTTGCTATCAGTGTAGTGGTAACCACATGCTTCCACAGTGTGATGCGTTTAAGGCAAGCAGTATTCAAGAGCGGTGGGACCTGGTTAAGGCGCAACAGCTTTGCTTTTCGTGCCTACGCAAGGGGCATTCCACACAAAAGTGTCGTGCAAGAAGGAGGTGTAACATAAGTGGCTGCCAGCGCTATCACAACCAGCTACTCCACAACGAAGATGCAACAATGCAGATGCTACGCCGAACTACACGAGAGGATGTCATTGCGCAGACAGTTCTGAATTGTCGGGAAACACAAAGCGCACATGGTCAACTGTTTAAAATATTGCCAGTAACATATATGGACCGAAAGGTAAGCGTGAGATATTAGCGATGTTCGACGAGGGTTCGTCAATTTCAATAATGGAAGAGGAAGTGGCCAAGATGATCGGAGCCCAGGGTTGCTTGCATCCACTTACGCTGCAGTGGTATGACAACAACGTTGTTACGGAACAATCGCATAAAATAAGAATTGAAGTTGAGAATTGTGCGACGAAGAGGAAGTTTCTACTGAAGGAGGTATATACGGTTAAGAACCTGAACCTGCCAGAGCAGTCTATGGCCAAGGAAAATTTTCAGCATTTGAGAGATTTGCCGATAAAAAACTACTGTCGTGCGAAGCCAGTTTTGCTCATCGGGATAAAGCATGCATACCTGGGTATGACCTCAGCAACAGTGCAAGCCGACATCGACAGCCCGCTAGCTGTAAAAACACTACTAGGCTGGGTCGCGTACGGCCCAACCAAGCTGCCTACAACATTGAATCCCCGTGTTTTGTTGGTGAAAGAATATCAGCAACTACATGACTTAGTACACGAGTACTTCGCAGCAGAGAGCTTTAGAGTAAAGCAATTGCCGAAAAACGCTTACTGACAGTGGAGCGCCAAATGAAGAACGATGCCGAGTTTGGTACACGATACAAACAAGAGATGGCTAAGTACGTGATCAAAGGGTATGCAAGAAAGTTAAGCCGTGAACAAGCCAGAAAGCCACACCAAAATGCTTGGTACTTACCTCACTTTGCCGTATTCAACCAGCATAAGCCCAAAAAGACGCGAATCGTCTTTGATGCCGCAGCCGCAGTAAACAACGTGTCGCTCAACTCGCAGCTATTGAAGGGTCCGGAGCAAGCACAACCGTTGATACGGATTTTGCTACAGTTTCGCCAGGGACGTGTCGGAGTGTCCGCAGACATACGCGAAATGTTTTCGCGAATCAAGATACGCGCAACTGATCAACACGCTCAGCGGTACTTGTGGCGTGATGGTGATGCGAGCAAGCCTGTGGCAGAGTATGTGATGACGTCATTAATTTTCGGTGCTGTTTGCTCACCCTGCATTGCCGAATATATAAAGAACAAAAACGCCGAGGAGTATCGAGCACAGTTTCCAGACGCCGCAACGACTATAATTAACAAGCATTATGTCGATGATTTAGTTGCAAGCTTCGACACGCCTGAACAAGCCATCAGTATCTGCAGTGACATTGTCAGCATCAATTCACAAGCAGGGTTCGAGTTACGGAACTTCGTCTCCAACTGCGAAGAAGTAGAAGATCGTTTGAATCATTCGTCGTTATCCGTGAGAGAGGTGGTTAGCCTGGAACACAACGCGTCAGTAGACAAAGTGCTTGGCCTCTACTGGAATACAAGCGATGACGTTTTCCACCGTTTGCCGAAAGATGTCCTGCACGGAATACGAGCTCCGACAAAATGAGAGTGGTTACGAATCGTGATGTCGTTGTTCGATCCATTTGGTATGTTAGCAGCATTTTTAATTACTACTAAAATTCTCATTCAAAAAGCGTGGAAGTGCGAGATTGGCTGGGATGAAGTTCTGCCTCAAGAACTAAACAAGAGATGGTGGCCCTGGTGGCAAGAGTTTCCTAACGTTAAGAAGTTGAAAATACCCCGCTGTTATTCGCCGCAAATCTTACATGGTGGCAAGGTAGAAATCCACACTTTCGTCGACGCTAGTCAAGTCGCATTTGCGGTAGTATACGTTCGAGTACTTCATATTAATGGAGTTGACGTTCGCTTCATTATGGGCAAAACACGCACAGCACCAGCGAAACTGATGTCGATCCCGAGACTCGAGTTACAGGCAGCAGTATTGGGCACCCGCTTGTACAAGCTCATCGAGGACAGCCACGAGTTCAACATAGGGCGAGCAGTTTTTTGGACCGACTCCCAGACGGTTCTGCAATGGGTGCATTCGTCGGAAAGAAAGTATAAGGCGTTCGTCGGCCATCGTATAGCCGAGATTCTCGGCACAACGGCAAAAGAGCAGTGACGATGGGTGTCAACTTCTCAAAATGCAGCAGACGTAGCAACACGCGCTTTGTGTCCACCCAAGTTCGACAGTAGCAGCCGTTGGGTAAAAGGCCCCCGAGTTCTTGCAGCACGACGAAGAGTATTGGCCCACGGCTACGATCACAGCGTCACCAGTACTCCCAGAAGAAATATCCGTTCCAGTTTTGGTGGTGCAACACGGCAGTGCCGTCATTAATTTTTCACGGTTTAGCTCCTTCACAAAGCTATTACGAACAACAGCCTGGGTGATGCGAGCAACAATACTATTTCGAAAACAGAGCAACAGTACAACGCCCATGTCGCAAAGCCTCACAGCATCAGAGATAAAGAAAGCAGAGCATATGGTATGCGAACTAGTCCAACGAGAATGCTTTTCGAGCGAAATCGCAGGTTTGTCAGTCGGCGGTAAAATCGCCAAAAGAAGTTCGCTGTATAAGCTTTCGCCGTATCTCGACCAAAGTGGCCTATTAAGATTGAGCGGACGCATCGACGAGGCCACATACCTACCAATGCAAGCACGACGACCGATATTAATGCCTGCCAAACATATCGTGTCAACCCTGATTGTACAACATTTTCACAAAATAAATCATCACCAGAATTCCGCAATCACCATTAATGCCATCCGACAACAGTTTTGGATACCGAATTTGAAACCGCTCCTCAAGGCAGTTCAGCAAAGGTGTCAACAGTGTATGATCGACAAAGCAAAGCCAAACCAACCTATGATGGGTCAGCTGCCGGTCGACCGCATAACTCCGTTCGTGCGCCCCTTTACATACACAGGCGTCGACTTGTTTGGCCCTCTTAACGTCACCATCGGTAGGCGCAAGGAGAAAAGGTGGGGCGTTATATTCACCTGCCTGACAGTTCGAGCTGCACACATAGAGCTAGCTACCGACCTGAGCACCGATGCGTTAATTTTATGCCTGCGGAATTTTGTAAACCGACGTGGAACGCCGTCCAGAATAAGGAGTGATAATGGGACAAATTTTATTGGCGCACAAAGGGAGTTGAGGGCAGCTGAGCAGTTGTTAGACACTGACCGCATTCAAGCCGAGGCTGGCAGACAAAACATCGAGTGGATATTTAACTGTCCGCTGAACCCCAGTTCGGGTGGCTGCTGGGAGCGCTTGATAAGGATTATAAAGTCGCTGTTAAGCAAGACGTTGCGTGAGGTAGCCCCAAGACCCGACACTCTGCACAGCGTGTTAATAGAAGCGGAAAATATCATCAACTCCCGACCGCTAACTGACCTGCCTATAAGCCATGAAGAAGATGAGCCGTTAACACCCAATCACTTCTTGTTGGGGTGCGTTAATTCAACGCAGACGCCGAACCCTGTTGACGAGAAGATTTGCCTAAGGAAGCAGTGGAGAATCGCGCAAAACCTCAAGGACCGGTTGTGGAAGCGATGGACAACCGAGTACCTGCCTCAGCTATTGTGCCGTACTAAGTGGCAGGACAAAGCAATACCGCTTCAAGCGAACGACCTGGTGATATTGTGCGACTCAACGCTGCCCCGTAGTCAATGGGTACGCGGCCACATAACTCAAGTTTTTCCCGCCAAAGACGGACAAGTACGTACCGTGGAGGTGCGAACGAAGAGCGGACTACTACGCAGACCAGTTTCGCGTTTAGCAAAGTTAGAAGTTGGTGGTGAATCCTGTGAGGATTCACGGGGGGCGGGGTGTTAGCAACCCTGGTAGTTTGCTGAAAGTGGCAACACCGCGAATAAGAACTGCAACCAAAATGTATGTTTAATACGCCTTAACTGCAACCAACTTTGGTACATATTTTCGTCGGCCATGACAGAAGGACTCTAGACAGCGTACGAGCAACACAAGTGTAAAACCTTCAACAACCACAACAACAACAGCAACTTACCGACTGCCGTTCATATATATGTATATTTTATGTTTTAAAAGTACAAGTTACGCGCTTACGTGTCTGTAAAATACGTTTTTATACAACTCAAACGTCTTTACTTCATTCGTTTTAAATCCTTCGTCGGTAAGCAGAAGCAGTTCTTACCCTTCAACAGTATTGTATTCAGTGTTGCCAGAACTTTCTGGGCCAACCGGCTAGATTGGCAAAAAAAAACCGGCTAAAAACGGCTAAACTGTTTCAACTAAATTTCACATGTTTTATTTAAATAAATCATAAGTAGAAAGACTAGTTCTTGGCAGTGATGCCAGAACTTTTTGGGCCGACCGGCTAGATTGGCAAAAAAAAACGGCTAAAAACGGCTAAAATGTTTTAGTGAAAATCCATATGCTTTATTTAAATAAATCGCAAGAAACGAAAGACTAATTAACACCATTAATTTATATCGAGTGTATATTCCTCATCATCAAATGAATCACTATTGTATATATCACCTGAATTCATTAACTTTAAGAGATCGTCATCTACGTAAAATTATGGCAGCATTTTTCTTCACGTTTTAAACCGTATCTTATATATAAAATAGCGTTTAACGTTTTAACACACATTGGATTTCTTTGCTTAGTTTTTATTATATTCATTGAACTAAATATTCGCTCTACTTCTGCATTACTTATAGGCAAAACAAGAAAACTAAAAACTAGGTTGCAAAGGTCAGCAAAAGGGTTTTCTCCTAGGGCATTTCGAAATTGATAAACTTCGGCCCAAAAATTTACAGTTGAGTCTAAATTACTCCAGGTATGTAACGTTAACCGTTGCCATTGCATCTCTATGGATGTTATTTCGTCGGCGTTATATTTGTGTTTTTGAACAAATACTTATGGTTTAATTACTCTTAATGCATTTCCAACCGAAAAAAGTAATTTTTTTTTAGTGTGGCAATATTTGTAGGGAGGCGTTGGCGTAATTCCTTTATTAAAGTGATAATAAAATAGCGACCATTTTCTCGAATTATTTTCTCGGCTTCGTGGTCAAAAGCGTTTGTGCTTACTTTTGTTTTTAAATACTCTTCAAAACTGTGATAAAACTGAGGAAATGGAGCAAGGTATGGTTCCAATGGGGAGCATATAGGATCAAATGTGTCCGCGCTAATAACCACAAGGGAGCATAGATGCGAAAGTAAAACATTGAGTTCATTAAAAATCTTCATTGGGTCTGCATTATTGCTTTCGAACAACTTGTTTACTTTTTGCACCTGAAAATTAGGCAAATAGTAAAATCGGCTAAAAACGGCTAACTTTTTTTTACAAACCGGCTAACAAATCGGCTGCCGGCTAGATCGAATTTTCTCCGGCTAGTTGCTATCAAAACCGGCTAAATCTAGCCGGAAAACGGCTAAAATGGCAACGCTGATTGTATTGTGTTGTTTGGGTATTAACCAACATGGAATTCGTTGTTGTAAGAACTTGAAAATTCCCCAAAGGGCTTTTTGGGAATCAGCCGGAGATATATGTAGATGCAGGTCCTTCGGGTTACGTAGACCCAACTGTCGTGGAACGACATAGAACTGATTTTGTATAATGTAAAAATATCGCTTTACGTCATTTAAACAAGGGTAGTACTGGTACTCCTTATTTCCGTTTTGTAAAATTACTCGTATGTTTACCTTCATACACCCTAATACACCCTTTTAGATAAAGGTTCACCTGCTTGATCACCCTGTAACTAGCTTTTGTTTCCTCCCAGTTCGCCGATCAGCTGTTACCATACGTCAATTGGCTTTAGCAAAATACGCAGAAAAAAATACGAGACTGTCTGGTAAAACAAACATATTTTTTTTGGGGTTTCTCGTTTTTTTGCAATAGAAAATAATTTCATTGCATACGAAACGAAAATATTTACGAATCGCCTAGCTACGCTGTATTTTTGGCGGGTACTTAACATCTTATCTTGTATGTGGTAAAGTGTCCAGGTGAGAATTGTTGATTACAAAAAGCAATTGATGCAAAATAGGCGTAAACAATAACAATTTGCATTTTTACATACGTTTCCAGTTATATTGAAATCAAGGTTTTGAGCTAACTTCGTTTTTGGCGCCGAATTGAGATACACGCTTCGTTTCGACTTTCCGGACTGAAAACTATTTGACAAACTTATTAAATTTAAACAATGCAAAATTATCCACACCTATATTCGCAATACACGTTTATAAGTTTAATATATACATTTTCTCGTTAACAAGACATTTTTCGCTGAACTAGTTGGTCCTTGTTTTTCCTGACTGCCTTCCTCCCGATGGAGGTTAGGTTTCGTGAGTTAAAAAAGCGACTAAAATCTAAAGGAAACAGCAATGTTGGAAGTGGAAAACGTCCTGGTATAAAAGAATTGGTAAACCTTAAGGCTTCGATGGATGCGACGGGGCAATCGCGCGATTCCGAAATGGAGTTGTCTGAAAGCTCTCCTGGAGCTTCAAATATTAATCCGAAGCACGTGCTACTGACCAAGGTTGAAAAGCCGTCGTTACTGTATGAGACGAATGACCAGGTAAAGTACATTGTATTTTTGGAAGTGTTGCCTGATGAAAGGGGCATAAGGAAACTAATTTTTTTAAACTTATTTTTCATGGAACTGATAGATGATCTCTCTCTGGTTGGGTTAGCTGACCTCAGGGCGCTTGGCAACGGGCGGGCTAAATTGACTTTTGATACTGCAACTGATGCAAATAATTTTGTTACAAAAAACGATTTCAAAGCCAGAAATTTATTGGCTTACATTCCAAAATCTTTCACTGAAAAATACCACTAAAATACTCCAATGAGTATATACTTGAAAATATTGAAAGTGATTTGGCGATTGTATCAGTAAGTAGACTTAATAGGAGAGAAGGTAGCGAACTAAAACCTACCATTTTTTCAAATTATTGTTGCTTTTCCACAATAAATTTTCAT